GTCAGTCAATCATTTACTGTCTGTTCAAAAGTGTCTCGAAAAAGTGAGAAACAGTCAATATCGTATACAGCATATAACGATAAACTGTGAAAACCTGTTTGTTCCGTTTTATGCACAAGATCGCAACACAACACCAACGAGGTGCGGTCGTTCGTCCTCTGAAACCGTCACCCGATACGTTCAGTACGTCAGCCGAACGTCGTCGAATGCTTGGTCATAAACACCAAGGTTTTCGACTCTCGCGGACGTTAGCAAAAAGATACTTTCCCATTTTCGTCGGTTGAGCACCGTTACCGTACCAAAGAGCAAAAAGTTCAGTTTCGGTCGAAACGAGGTGCGCCATGCCATCGTTTATTTGTGATTGACCGTCGCCATGAACCTTGCCTATAATTAATATTTTACTTATTCTAATAGGCCTTCGTGTGGCTTATACGGATGTGGTTGTTGTAAATGCAAGTACGGAATTAAACGAATTTATCAACGTTCCTTTACGACTCACAACAGTTAACGGAATCCAGCGAAATCACCGGCATCCGCCGAGCCGACTGATGCGGCGGATTCTAACTCGCTGAATCAACATCCTATACGCTTGAAGCGAGCAACTGGGGGTGGGGCAGATGGATATTTTGTTTAAACGAATTAATGTTCATTAACCGAACCTGAGGTCGTGAGGCAGTGAGAACAGGTGCGACAGGAACTGAGGAAAGCCGAAGTTTTTTGAATACGGAATAATGAAGACAGAATGATTTTTGAAGAGGCAGTGAGACAAGGCAAGAGAGAAATAGATTGAAACGTTCAGCGCGACATGAAATGGTACCGCCATTACGAAGAGACAGCTTTCGGAAAGAACGAAAGATGGAATAAGGCCGAGACGACGACACACGCTCGAAAGTTGGCGAGAAGGTGATGATGAAATGCAATGGCGTAGACTCATGGTCTCGTTCTGTTGCTCCAGTTAGATCAAGCAAATTGAACCATAACGATTTGTCACGCGTACGACGAGAGGCACGTGAGGGGGGGGCGGCTTCAATGCAAATCACTCAAATGAAAGACAGCAAATAATTAGCAGTGACATAGTGAGGACAGAAGAAAGATGTAGCTAAACCTTGTAGCCCGTTCTTTTGGCCAAATTCGCTTTATGTTCGACGGGACGGCGCTGGCCGCTGGCTCTTCGGGGCTCCATGAGACAGGTTCGTCAACGGAGTCGGTTCAGACGAAGCCAGGTTACCGATCAACGATGGCAGACGAAGTCGTACGGCTGGTCGTCGATGCCTCGTCGCGCCGTCCTCAGCCTCCGCCGACGACCACCTCATCGTCAGTCCTCGTCCAAACTTTTTCATTAGCGCCGATGGCGATGGCGAAGGGGCTTCACGATGATCGTTGCGGAGGCGATTATCCGCTTTTTACGACTGTAAAACCGACAACGTGTCATAAATCTGGGGATAACAGCCGTCCGGGCACCACAGCACCACAGTTTGCCTTCGTCACGCCCGGATAAAGGCGGTCGTCAACGTCGGGCAGAATAAACACAACGCCGACGATAGCCAGGCGGCAGGCGGCGACGAGTCGAAAGGCGATCGACGGCGGCTGCGAGTCGGACGACGTCCCCACCGATCCGATCGCCTCACCTCGTCGTAAACAGTTCCCGACTCCCTTGGAAGGAGGCAGTTTTGTTCACTCGGCACAACCGAACGTTTCTGTACGCTTAACAGGCCAGAAACCACATCCTTGGTTCCTGACCATGTGTACGGACTAACACAGTGCCGTCGTGACACGTTTCACAGGTGATCGCTTTGTTCCGTACGTACACGGATTGTCGCCTCTAGATTGGTCGCTTTACACATCATACAAAAGGCAAAGCACACTCGAAAAGAACCTTCGAGTACCCACAAGCTTGGTATGAGGTCATAAAGCCTCCTAAACCCATGTAGTTCATTTTCGCCAAACCGTCATTTCCAAACGGTGCGATTCATTTACCATTCGATCACCGGACATTCAGATTCAAGCCAGCCGTATGGAGCGTTACTGCTGCATGTTAACCCTCAATTAGTCACGTCGGGTCTGTATGACCCGACTGATATTACTATATTTTTAACTAGGCTTAACATGTAAAATATTAGGGTAACGTAATAACGTAATCTCCTAATTTGTGTCTTCCTTTCGGTGCTAAGGTAGTCAAAA